GTCTGAAAAGATTCATGCCCGTGGACCAACACAGCCCAATGCGTATGTTCGGAACTGCTTGACGTACGAGGGCATAATGCTTGTAAATTTGCCGATGCAACCAGCGCACATTGATATCCTTGTTGAAAGGAACCTTCAAGAAAACTTGACGGACCATGTTTCTGTCACGCTGCTTCGCTGCAATCCTGTCTTGATACCGCTTGACGATGCGCTCGAAGGCCGCAATGCTGAACCCACGATCCCGCAGACGCAACTTGAAAGCAGCCAAACTGCGTTTCACATCAACGGCGGAAGAATTCCTGCGCAAACATCTCCAAAACCCTCCAATTTGAAGGCTGTGAAAGACGCTGTCCGGATGACAGCTGTTGGCAGGTACATATAAATGCAAGTTCTGAGGTTTCTCAAACATAGACCAAGAAACTGACTTGTTTTGCTCAATGTGCAAGGCCACGTCAAGAAAATGAACATTTCCATCACCTGACAAATCAAACTTCAATGAAGGATGCCAGCTGTTTGCAATGGCAGATAATTCCAGCGCGGAACCACTCCACAAAAGAAGGAGGTCATCAATGTACCGCCGCAAGAACTGCAAGCAATTGTCACAAGATTGCATCAAGAAGTTATCGAGGCTTGAAAGGTAGATGTTAGCGACTTGACCTGCAACACCCAAACCAGTGGCAACACCATCTTGTGATTCGTAAACCTTCCCATTGAACGACACCACGCAAGCATCCATTACGAGCTCCAGCGCTCGGATAATGAATGTACATTTCTGATGACTTGGAATGTGGCGCCTCAAGCAAGGGACAATCGTTTGAAAAAGATGCTGCCTGTCAATAGACGGGTAAAGATTTACCACATCCAACGTCACGAATCTGTAGCCCGGCTTGCAACTCAAACCACCAAGCTCATGCAGCAAGCTGTCAGTTGAAGTGACGACTGTATGCAACGCATTCACGACAGGATTCAACTGCTCAACAAGAAATGAGTTGAAAGGACCAAACCACATGCAGCGAACATTGCACACCGGCCTCGAAGCAACAGGGTGCTTGTGTACTTTCGCCAGAATTCTGAAACAACCGGCAGAAGAAGAATTCAACTTACTCAAAAGGAAGCGTGCTTGCTGTGATGATAACACGCCTGATGAATGAAAAAACTGCACAAGGACATCAGCCCTCTGCTTGCAGCCATTCATCTTCAAGTGAAGCTCAGCCGGGTTCAACTGTACATAGCCATGCGAAAGCTGAAGGGCAACTTGTTCATTCACCCAAGAACGGAGAACGATGGCTTCCCCCAAGCCTTTGTCACAGTCAACCACACAAACAATGTCACGGTGTTGCTTCAACCACATCTGCGCTTTACGATCCATCCAAGAGAGGTTGGAATGTACATCTGACGCCTCAAACTCAGCCAGATCATCTCGAAGAAGCCGAAAAAATGCATCAATACGACTATCTCCAGCCGGCTGCCAGGAAGAGGAGACTCGGCAACGAGATACACGTTTCGCGGCATCAGCTGGGAACATCTTGCGAAGCAGAAGCTGGCGATGGAACATAGGCAGATGAGTTGACAAGGCTTGCGACGTAGTGCGACGACCAGTGGGGATGAACTTGCCACCCTTGGAAACATGCAATAGAACAAATTGTGGAATTTCCAAAACACATGTCGGGACCAAGTTGTGAACTCCTTTGAAACGAGGTCTGCAAAGTAAAGTGCGAAAGTGGGAACGTAAGCACCGCACAACGCAGAACTTGTAGAAGTCAACAGTGCACTTGTCACGATCAGACCAGAAGGAGCGGCCCCTGCTTCGTAATGCTATTTTCTCTTTGACTTTCCTCGTCCTTTGCCTCTTCCTTTGCCCTGGCCTTTGCCTTTGCCCTTTCCTTTGCCTTTGGCGCCATCTGCAAACGTAACTCGTCTACCAGGAGAGGCTTCCGTACGTGACGAGGCTCGCGACTTGGAAGGTGAACGGCTCCCCTTGAGAATAGACGTAGGACGAAGCCTCGAGGGAGATCTGTCCGTCGCACGTCCCCGCCGCGGTGACGGCTTGGGCTTTCGCTTCGGAGTTGGCAACCGCACTGCACTTGAAGTAATCTTGATGCGATGTTTCTCCTGTAACTCGACGTTGTCCTTCACGAGAAAAGCCAAAGCACTGTCTTCTTTAACTGTCAACGGTTTACTGCGTGCTGAACCCCGGCTTGCTAACTCGAGCAGAGCAGGGGAAAGCACATCCTTCACATCCAAACTCTCCCACTTACACGTGGCATCCAACAAGGCTTGGTCGCGTTTTTGTTTCAACTCCTTGTCCTTGTCAATGCGATTCTGAACTTTGGGACGTTCCAAACGAACCAAACTATCAACGAACTGCTTGGATTTGTGCACCATGCTTTCCACGATCCCAGCGTCGTTGTAACCATGCTGAGCCAACCACGCGACAACCTTGTCCCCAAGTTTGCGCTGAAGAGCTTCACAAGAAACCTCTTCATCGTACATCTTCAAACAACGCTCCTGATGAATGCGAACGAAGGCGAAACATTCCTGCGCATGCCGCTGACGCATCTCTTCCCAATCAGCAAGCAAATCATAGGGCTCATCAGTCATGACAGTCCCGGACCCGCCAGGTGCCAAAGGCTGAGCCTGAGCAATGTAACGTTTTGCGAATTGCCACTTGAAAGATGCCTCCGCTTGGAAATGCGCATGGAGCTTGTTTTCACCAAACAACCTGGAGTATTTGTCATGGAGGCTTCGCTGCGTTTCCCAAGCAGCGAAGCTATGCTTTGTGTCTTTTGCAAAGCTTTCAAAAACACCTCTCAAAGCAGGATCCACACCAACAAGCAAATCCTTCGGCTCTTGGAATAATCTGGAAGTTTGTGAAGTCCCCCCGGATGATGTCGAAGCATGGCTTTGATTCGTCTGCGATTGAAGCGCTTGCAGTTGTTGCACGAGCAAGCGGTTTTGCTCTAAAAGCAATTGCGTCATGGAAGCTGAAACACCAGGGTCCTGTGGAATTGGAGCGTGCTGACGTAAACGACCTGCCGCAGTGTATTGCGATCTTTCCCTTTCGGATGACTGAAATGTACTTTCCCATTGAGCTGAACGACCACGTGATTCTGAGAAGGCTGGGACCTCACTAACTGCTGATCTCAAGACTCCACCTGCCACCCCAGCAGGTGAAGACTGTTGCCCTTCAAGGCCCGAACCAGCAGAAGTAAGATCTGGATTGGCGATCATCTTGAAAGTTTGCCACGCACAACTGAAGAATAAAGATGCTCA